TTTCCCTCCGCAGGGGTGGTGGCGGCGACATGTTGCGGCGACCGGCGTGGCAGGTAGGGCCGTGGGTGACGCTTTAGCGGTTCCTTGCGAGAGTCAGGCTGAGGCCTCGGCGGGAGCTTGGCCCTGCCTTTACATCCCCGGGCTGCCCGCACCGCCGCGGGTGTCGCTGGGGACAGGGTTGGGGGCGGCGCTGGTGAGAGCCCTCCCGCCACGGGGAGGGGATGGCAGCGAGGAGAAGCAGCTCTTTGCCACCTTCTCAGCGGGGCTTGCTGTAACCTCCTCGTCACGGACGCTGGTGTTCGTCGCCGTCCCAGCGTGCGAGGCAGGGGAATAACTAAGGATCCTGAAGCTGCTTGCCTCGGCGTTTTTGGTTTACAAGAGCCAGAGGAGCGCTCTGCTGCCTGGCTAGGCCTCCACGGAGCCTTGGCTGTGTTGCCTTCAGGCACCAGCCGTAGCCTGGGCCTTTACTGCAGCGCTGAATCAGCCCTTAGAAAAAAGGGTGAATTCTGTCGGGTCACTGGTGTTATTTCTGTTATTTTTCAAAAAACTACGCACCACTTCCCATGAAAAGGCAAGTTCTGTTTGCAGTTGTACTTTATGAGAGTACAAATGCTGGATCTTAGTTACTCAACTGCTGAAAAAATGTATTAAAAATTCCAGTTTATGCATGGAATGAGTCTCAGATGATTTGCACATACATCAATGAACTGTACAGATGTGCCAAAGAACTTCTGGTTTGCAATTTGTATTTCCTGTGGTTTAGCTCCTATGTTCAACATGGGACTGTCAGTCTTGTCTTCCTTTAAGTTTTACAACTACTTGTTATAGGCGATGAGCTTCTTTTTTTCCAGTTCCTGCATGTGGGCCTCTTGCAGAGGTGTTCCTGGGTTTTGTGGGATATTTTTTTCCTCACCCGTTCTTCTAGGACATGATACTTGCCAGCATCAAGTCAGTTCCTTTTCTTTTTCTCACTTGTGTTTAGCTGCAGCACTCTGGTTTTTGTGGCCTTGAGTTGCTGTTTGCTTGGGAACAAGAGGTTATCAGTGCATCACACTGCTTACAGCGGTGAATAGATGGACGTTTTGGGCACATTTTGTTAATCTCTGAAGTGAAGCAGAAAGCTGATGAAACTATCAAAGCTGAGTTTGTTTCCGAAAATGGAAGCTCAACCAACTGAACAACTCCTCCACTTCAAAATCCTCCCCCTCCTATTATGTATTACATGAAAACAGTAGTTACTGCTTGTCCCAAAAATAGTTGCTGGAGATGCACCTTTGGGCCATGCTTTTTCCTAGGCGGATTTTTAACCCCAGTTTAACCAAATATTCTTTGAATAATCCTATTGGCTTAATTTAGCTGAATGGATTTCTTCTCTCAGTTCTCCTCATAAGTTAACAGTAAAGAATGTAGTTGCAAAACCTCTGCAAGTGTTCAGAAAATGAGGTGTAAAAGCATGTGAATACTGTTCACACTCTGTGTCTGGGAAACTAATGTCTGTCTGTTCATTCAGGTGCTGCGCCAGTTTGTAAGACATGAGTCTGATACGGTTACTTCACTGGTACTCGAAAGATGTAAGTAGCTCCTGAGGACAAACTTAGCTGTTACGCTTTGTGGTTTTTATCTCAGTTTTAGAATGGCTGAAATATGCCAGGGGAGAAGGGGATGGGAATGGTATCCTGAATGAAATAACTAAGAATACGTTGTTTCAAACAAATAGACTCCTTAAGTTGCTTTCTGTCTGATCTTTGTCAAGCAAAGCAGCCTTTAAAGTGAAAAAGAAAAAAAGCCCTGACATGGAATACAACCTGTAAACAGCAGGTAGTCACGCTTTCAGTGGCAGTGAATCGGGTATGCTGTTGTCGTATTTTCTAATACCTGCCTTTAGGTGTCTCCTGTACTTGTTTCTCAGACTCCCATGTGCCTGGGGGACTTTTTTGGGGGCTGCTGCCCCAGCATGACTTGGTCCAGGTGTACACTTCAGACTTTACCATTCAGTTCACGTGCTCACTGTGTAAGAGTCATGCATCCCTGACCTCCTCCAGTTGTCCTTGAACAAGGAGAAGGAATAAATTGTGTCCACGTAGTCCTGGTACCTGTGTTTAAAAAAACACTCTCAGAGGATGGGGTGTAATAATGCAGCTTTGTTGTTTTACAAGTACTGTTTTAAGGGCAAAACAGTGCAATGCCACGGTTTTATCGTAATGAAAAAAAAAGTCAAGATAAGTAAATGCAAAATAGTCTCAAGTAACATATGGATGTGTCTGGGAAAAAGATGACAAAGGAACAGCAAGAATAAAGGACCTTTAGCTTTCTGAATGAGCTTATTCAGCAGTGATAATGACAGTACAGGCCAAAATTCCCAAGAGCTTGAAAAATGGTTAGGAGGTGCAGAAAGCTATTTTTCTGGCCCTTGACAAAAGTTGCCAACTTATGTCTTGCCTTGATTAGAAGCATCATAATTCACCACCTGTATATGTATTTACTCTCTCGTGTTTCAGCCATGAATCGTGTTCAGTTACTTGGTCGGGTTGGACAGGACCCTATCATGAGGCAAGTGGAAGGAAAGAATCCCGTTACCATATTTTCTCTTGCAACCAATGAGATGTGGCGAACAGGGGACAGTGAGTTAAACCAGGGAGGTGAGTCTGCAACAAGCAACGTGCTTTCACTGTGTTGTGAGGTGATGTGTGCATATTCCCTAGCACCATGCTATGTCTTTAGGCTGCCATGTACATCTCTTGGGTGCAGGGAAGTTCCTTAGAGTTCAGTGGAGGTGCTCGTGCACTTGCATGTCTCTTACTGATCCCCAGCAGCACGTACTGAATAGAGGTCTGCATGTCGACCTTTCTCTGGAGGAGAGGAGAGAGTGTTTAGTTGGCAGTTTTTCACTGTTGGAATTGCCAGAGGTATAGCAGGTTCTACCCTCTTACTCGTATTCCAAGAAGGGGAAAAAAAAACCCCAAACCTGTATATTTTCTCTTTGATTCTTCCATCAGTCTGCAGCTAGAGATGTCTTTTTTTTTTCTCTAACTTTTGTTCAATGTGGAATGTGTGAGGGGAATAAAATTATTCTGGTATGAGCGCTGGCTTGCAGGACATTTGACCTCTTGGTTTGAACTGTGCTGCTGCATTTTCATTTGGACATAGATCAGTGGTGCATTGAGTCCTAGTATATTTACCTTTTTGTGTCACTTTTCATAATTTGAGAGCACCAGCATGTTGAAACTAATTCCTGAGGCTTGCATTGAAAAGAGGATTTGGCATCCAACTTTATTATTTTTATGTAAATTAGGTGATATCAGTCAGAAGACGACATGGCACAGGATCTCTGTCTTCAGACCAGGCCTCAGGGATGTTACGTATCAGTATGTGAAGAGGGGGTAAGTGAATAACAGATGTGGTTGAGGATATAAT